CCTCTTGGTAATTTTTAAAACATTTTAGTGGCCGGCGTCATGGCTCACTAGGCTAATCCTCCGTCTGCGGTGCGGCACCACGTGTTCTAGTACCAGTTGGGGCGCCGGATTCTGTCCCGGTTGCCCCTCTTCCAGGCCAGCTCTCTGCTGTGGCCCTGGAGTGCAGTGGAGGATGGCCCAAGTGCTTGGGCCCTGCGCCTGCATGGGAGACCAGGAGAGGCACCTGGCTCTAGCTTTGGATCAACGCGGTGCGCCAGCCGCGGCAGCCATTGGAGGGTGAACCAACAGCAAAGGAAGACCTTTCTCTCTGTCTCTCTCTCTCTCTCACTGTCCACTCTGTCAAAAAAAAAAAAAAAAAAAATTACCAAGAGAGACTCTCTTTCTTAAACAAAAAGACAAGTTATATTAATTATCTTAGGACTGCATTTTTTTTTTTTTAGATTTTATTTATTTATTTGAGAGGTAGAGTTACAGACAGAGAGAGACAGACAGAAAGAAAGGTTTTCCTTCTGTTGGTTCACTCCCCAAATGGCTGCAACGGCCAGAGCTACACCTATCCGAAGTAAGGAGCCGGGTGCTTCTTCCTGGTCTCCCATGTGGGTGTAGGGGCCCTAGGATCTGGGCCATCTTCTACTGCTTTCCCAGGCCACAGCAGAGAGCTGGATTGGAAGAGGATCAGCTGGGACTAGAACCAGTGCCCATATGGGATGCTCCAGCATTGCGGGCAGAGGATTAACCTACTGCGCCACGGCACCGGCCCCATAGGACTGGCTTATATGTGTGCCCAGGAAAACTGTTAATCCTATGAGGAATCTTTTTTTTTTTAAAAGATTTATTTATTTATTCAAAAGGCAGAGTTACAGAGAAACAGAGGCAGAGAGAGAGAGAAGTCTTCCATCTGCTGGTTCACTCCCCAGATGGCTACAACGGCTGGAGCTATGCCTACCTGAAGCTCAGAGCCAGGAGCTTCTTCCAGGTCTCCCACGAGAGTGCAGAGGCTCAAGGACTTGGGCCATCTTCTACTGCTTTCCCAGGCCTTAGCAGAGAGCTGGATTAGAAGTGTAGCAGCCAGGACTTGAACTGGCACCCATATGGGTGGCTTTACCCACTACCTTGCAATGCCAGTCCCATTTTTTTTTAGATTTATTTATTTTTATTTGAAAGGTGGAATGTCAGAGAGAGCAGGGGAAAGAAAGATTAATCTCCATCTACTATTTAACTTCCCAAATGTTTGCAACAGCCAGGACTGGGCTAGGCTAGAATCAGGAGCCAGGAACTCCATCTGGGGCTCCCACATGGGTGCCAGGGACCCAAACACTTGACCCATCATTTGCTGCCTTCCAGGCCCATTAGCTGTATCAGAAGCAGAGTAACTGGAATTTGAACCATCACTTCAGTATGGGATGCCAGGGTTGCAAGTGCATGTTTAACTTATTTGTACCACAACACCAGCTTCTACTCCTGAATTTTTAGGAAGCAAATCCTATACATTAGTATGTTTCTCAAAAATATAGGGATTTTTTAAAAGATTTATTTATATATTTGAAAGTTAGAGGAAGTGAGAGAGATTTTCCATACGCTATTTCACTCCCCAAATGGCCACAACAGTCAAGGCTGGACCAGGTTGAAGCCAGGAGGCAGGAGGTTCTTCTGTGTCTCCCACATTGGTGGCAGGGGCTCAA